CTATGGTTATACTCGGAAAACTAGACAAATAGCCTTGCTTTTGCTTTCATGTGTGTGTGTCACATATTTGTCAAGAAGAGAGCTTAGCTCAGTAACATAGCTTCCCAAAGTCAGAACCAGAGCTAGCTCTAATCCTTTTTCTTCACTCTTCTTTTCTCCTTGGTCTAATGACAAAATTCCATAAAAACAGTTTCATTGCGCCTTCGGTTGAGAGAGCAAAACACAGAATCAATTGTCCAAGTCCTGAAACTTGTCTCTTATTTCTTGTTCAGAAAACTACTCCATATATGCTTCATCGGATCAGATGTTAGCAACAATCATAAGCTTTCTTCACATCATCATCCTCAGTCGCCCCAACCCGAGGAACCGAAAGGCCTGAACCTAAACAGTGTGTATATTATTTGAAACCAACCATGTGAAAATGATGCATCTTTACAGAACAAATAAACCACTTAAAACGAAAACAAAACCCACCAATTGTTCTTTTCAATCTTATGATCCAAATTATACATCATAATCTTATTAGGGAGAAAGTAAATCAAGACTCACAATCTCTTCATCAGTTTCAACTTCCAGGTCCTTTAAGTTCTTCAAACTAGACGGTAACTTGAGTGTTTTGCTTACTTTCATCACTTTCAGACCAATCATACGAGATACTGTACTGTGTAGCCCTTGTATAGCTGTGCAGTTCAAATAAAGATACTCAAGTTTCTCCATTCTTTTCGAAATCTTTGGGAATCTCTTTAGCGTAATGCAGCCCGAAAGATTGAGAACTTCAAGAGACTCCATGTTGTAGATCTTTGTCAGAAAATTCCTCAGCTTTTTGCAGTTCCCAAGGTCCAACTTGACTAGTTTGGACAGTGTTTCGATGCTCGTTGGTATTTCTCTAATGTCCGTCCCATTGAGATACAGTTCTTCGATGTTAGGCGGGACATCTGGAAAGATTTTGAGTTCTGCACAACCACGTAGATCGAGAACCTTAAGATGTTCCAAATTCTTTATGGCTGGAAAGCTCTGCAAGCTGGTGCAACCTCGGAGATTGATTAGCTCCAGATTACGAGCTTCTGAAACTTGATTGATTTCAACTAGTTTCTCTGAATGATGAAGATTGATTGTCTTCAGGGACCTGAGGCTCTGGATT